AGGCTAACAATTCAATTTAGATTGATATATACGACTATGCCGAATCTTATATATACTTCAAATTTTATACATTTTTAAAGTTTAAATATTGAACCAGTATAGAACGGATACAGAAAAGTATCATATAACATATATTCGTGTAGAATTGTATTGCGATATTATTAATAATTCACGAGTTACTTATGATTAAATGATTTTCAGAATAGGGCTTAATATGAGAGCTATGACCAATTATGATACGATCCGAACCATATTCGTGCAGAATTTTATCGTGATATCATTATTAAGTAATAAGTTATTTACGATTAAGTGATTTTCAGAAGGGGACTTTATATGGGAGCTATGGCCAATAATGGTCCGATCCGGAAAAACAATTTCATAGAGTGTTTTGTACGTATGTATATAAACAATATTTGAATATAATTTTATTCCGATAACATTATTAATTCATGAATTATTAACGATTAAGTGATTTTCGGAAAAGGACTTTATATGGGAGCTATGACCAATTATGGACCGATTTGGAATAATTTTTATATATACATAACATATTCGTGAAGAATTTTATCCCAACATTCTTATTAACTTATAATTTATTTACGATTAAGTGATTTTCGAAAGAGGTGACTTTATAAGGGAGATAGATAAGCCGATCCTAAACAAAAATTTCGCAGAATAACACAGGCCGATACATTTTTAAGCCAGAGACTTTTCTAAATGTTTGAGGATCGCTGAATTCGAATCTGGCCTCAGAATTGCTTCATCACATCTGGAATTTAAGATATCGTGTCGTGAAGTTTGAACTTTGGGCCTCAATCCTTTAGAAACTTATAACTTGGTCTCAGGGTTTCGATTTTTTTCCCAAATTTTGCCGGTCCGTGTAATTCGTACATGTATACTCATGTAAAATTCTGTCCCGATATGGTTATTTCATAATGAATTAAGTTCTTTGAATTAATTTCCAAACTTGACCTTATACGGGAGCTATGGTAAATTTTGGAACGATCCAGTTTTAAATTGATAATACAATTTCTATAATATTACATTTATATGTTCATAATGTAATAATACCGATATTCTAAAAGGAGCTATTAACTAACTTCCGGGAGGATGTAAATTTTGTATGGGAGCTATATGAAATTTTGAACCGATTCTAATAATGTTCAACCATGTTAATACCTGTTCAAAAGAAAAGATAGTTTCTGAAAAACCTATTCATGAGTTTCTTGGGATTTTTGGTTAATTCCCCTATTCATGGACCGATTTCAGATTTTGGGTTGTTTCTGTTATTTATAGACTTTTGAAAACTGTTTTCAACATACACACACATAGACAGATAGATGGAAGGACATGGATAAGTCGGTACCGCTATATATAAGGACTCGGAAATTACAAATGATAAAACTATATATAAATTTCTATATATAAGTTTCTTCTTACAAAGTTGAAGGATATAATACACATACATACATACAAATGTATGTAAATGTTAAGAGTAGTAAAACGATGATTACATTTACGAATACAATTTACATATTATAATCTTGTATGTATAAGAAATCCTGTTTCTCTTGTAATGTTTAAGTAGAAAAAGATTGCACACTCTAAGGACTCGCAAAAAAAGATGATAAAAATAACAAAAACGAAATAAAGAAAAATTTGAATTTTGATTAGAAAAATTGTTTCCCTACTTCCAGCTACAACAATAAAAATAATGCAGACATATATAGTATTAGGAAAATGTATGTGTGGGTGTTTATTTTGCCAACATTTGTTTTATAAGTTTCATTTATTTTATTCACAACACAACAACATGTCTACAGGAAACAGGAAACAGCACACAAACAAAAGTATCGACAAGACAAGAAGAAAAACAGGATGTTGCTTTACTTAAACATATAAGAATATTTGATTGTGAGTATGTGTGTGTGTGTTTGTATTTAAAAATTGATAATTTATCTTATTGTCATGCATAAAACAAACACAAATCGTAAAGCTAATTGTCTCATTAGTTGAGGAAAAACTAACACATACATTAAGGAGTTTCTTCATTGTAAATTGCCCTTACTCTAACAAATAAAGTTTAGTAAGTAATGAACGAAAGAGACAATTTAATTTCCCTCTTGTTAAGAAACGAATCGACACACAGTCAGGCAATATTTAAAAAGGGAATCACATCAAGTGGAAATATAAATAGATATGAATGTATCTTAATTGTATGTTATACACAGATATTGAATAAATATTTGAAATTAAAGAAAAAAAGGAAATATTTATTTATCCCTAATTACAAGTTAGAATGTAAATCGACTTAGTAAATGATTGGACTAGTCTATAGACTAAATAATTAATTATAGTTATATAGTTTATACTACAGACTAGATTATAGATGAGAATATAGTCTATAGACTATAGTCTAGTCTATAGTCTAGTCTATAGTCTAGTCTATAGTCTAGTCTATAGTCTAGTCTATAGTCTAGTCTATAGTCTAGTCTATAGTCTAGTCTATAGTCTAGTCTATAGTCTATAGTCTAGTCTATAGTCTAGTCTATAGTCTAGTCTATAGTCTAGTCTATAGTCTATAGTCTAGTCTATAGTCTAGTCTATAGTCTAGTCTATAGTCTAGTCTATAGTCTAGTCTATAGTCTAGTCTATAGTCTAGTCTATAGTCTAGTCTATAGTCTAGTCTATAGTCTAGTCTATAGTCTAGTCTATAGTCTAGTCTATAGTCTAGTCTATAGTCTAGTCTATAGTCTAGTCTATAGTCTAGTCTATAGTCTAGTCTATAGTCTAGTCTAGTCTAGTCTATAGTCTAGTCTATAGTCTAGTCTATAGTCTAGTCTATAGTCTAGTCTATAGTCTAGTCTATAGTCTAGTCTATAGTCTAGTCTATAGTCTAGTCTATAGTCTAGTCTATAGTCTAGTCTATAGTCTAGTCTATAGTCTAGTCTATAGTCTAGTCTATAGTCTAGTCTATAGTCTAGTCTATAGTCTAGTCTATAGTCTAGTCTATAGTCTAGTCTATAGTCTAGTCTATAGTCTAGTCTATAGTCTAGTCTATAGTCTAGTCTATAGTCTAGTCTATAGTCTAGTCTATAGTCTAGTCTATAGTCTAGTCTATAGTCTAGTCTATAGTCTAGTCTATAGTCTAGTCTATAGTCTAGTCTATAGTCTAGTCTATAGTCTAGTCTATAGTCTAGTCTATAGTCTAGTCTATAGTCTAGTCTATAGTCTAGTCTATAGTCTAGTCTATAGTCTAGTCTATAGACTAGTCTATAGTCTAGTCTATAGTCTATAGTCTAGTCTATAGTCTAGTCTATAGTCTAGTCTATAGTCTAGTCTATAGTCTAGTCTATAGTCTAGTCTATAGTCTAGTCTATACTCTAGTCTATAGTCTAGTCTATAGTCTAGTCTATAGTCTAGTCTATAGTCTAGTCTATAGTCTAGTCTATAGTCTAGTCTGTAGTCTAGTCTATAGTCTAGTCTATAGTCTAGTCTATAGTCTAGTCTATAGTCTAGTCTATAGTCTAGTCTGTAGTCTAACCTATAGTCTAGTCTATAGTCTAGTCTATAGTCTAGTCTGTAGTCTAACCTATAGTCTAACCTATAGTCTAGTCTATAGTCTAGTCTATAGTCTAGTCTATAGTCTAGTCTATAGTCTAGTCTATAGTCTAGTCTATAGTCTAGTCTATAGTCTAGTCTATAGTCTAGTCTATAGTCTAGTCTATAGTCTAGTCTATAGTCTAGTCTATAGTCTAGTCTATAGTCTAGTCTATAGTCTAGTCTATAGTCTAGTCTATAGTCTAGTCTATAGTCTAGTCTATAGTCTAGTCTATAGTCTAGTCTATAGTCTAGTCTATAGTCTAGTCTATAGTCTAGTCTATAGTCTAGTCTATAGTCTAATCTATAGTCTAGTCTATAGTCTGGTCTATAGTCTAGTCTATAGTCTAGTCTATAGTCTAGTCTATAGTCTAGTCTATAGTCTAGTCTATAGTCTAGTCTAGTCTAGTCTATAGTCTAGTCTATAGTCTAGTCTATAGTCTAGTCTATAGTCTAGTCTATAGTCTATAGTCTAGTCTATAGTCTAGTCTATAGTCTAGTCTATAGTCTAGTCTATAGTCTAGTCTATAGTCTAGTCTATAGTCTAGTCTATAGTCTAGTCTATAGTCTAGTCTATAGTCTAGTCTATAGTCTAGTCTATAGTCTGGTCTATAGTCTAGTCTATAGTCTAGTCTATAGTCTAGCCTATAGTCTAGTCTATAGTCTAGTCTATAGTCTAGTCTTTAGTCTAGTCTATAGTCTAGTCTTTAGTCTAGTCTGTAGTCTAGTCTATAGTCTAATCTATAGTCTAGTCTATAGTCTAGTCTATAGTCTAGTCTATAGTCTAGTCTATAGTCTAGTCTATAGTCTAGTCTAGTTTGAAAACCGTATTTATGAAGACGATATGGAGATTGATTTTTTTGAGTGTATGTAGTAATAGTAGCCCCAACAATTTGTTGCACGTATTTCTAAAGTTTTTAAATATTTCTGTCAATTATAAAATTGTATTAGTAAATTTTAATTTAGATTTTCTAAACAAACTTTTTGCTAGAAAAACACTAATAACATTTTTATAATTCCCTTATTAAAACAATAACATCCTCGTACACCTTTCCTACCCTTCCTTAAGCAACTCAACAACCAATAACTAAAACTTTACCTAAAATTTCTATTCACCTCCTATATGTAATATTTTTTTTTTCATTTAAAAGAAAAAACTTATTTAAGCGTGAAAATATACTGTTGTATAGTTTTCAAAACTTTTTCAATTTATTTGAACATTTCAATTTGCCTAAAGCATTTGCAGAAAAAAAAGCAAACAATATATATTGTTAGATGAATATATATATTTTTTAACAATTTCTCTTTTTTTTCGTAAAACTATTGTTTATTTAAAGTTAAATTGTAATGGTTAAAGTAATACAATTTTCTATTTGTTTTGTAATTTTTTTTTTTTTCAGGTTTGGTTTCAAAATCGTCGTGCCAAATGGCGTAAAGCAGAACGCCTTAAGGATGAACAACGCAAGCGTGAAAATGGCGATTGTAGTAGTGTATCATTGGATAAGGTAAGTGGTGTAGAGTGAATAAAAGTAAAAGTAAATAAAGAAGAATTTTTTTTAATGGAAAATAACATTTGGGAAAAAATAATTATTGTTCATTTTCGTAAGTTTTTCTTTTTACAATTTTTCCTCATTTTCTTTAAATTTCTAAAAAAAACATGTTCCATTTTTTAAAAGACCTTTTTTCGTCCCCATAAAACAACATATCACTTTTAAAAATCGGTTCATAATTGCAAAAGTTATAAAACATTTTCTAAATCTTGTCATAATTCGCACTCTCTAAGTATTTTTTCAGTTACTGCAATACTCCATTGCATACTTTCAGGTGTTTAAATAAAAATTATGTGGGCAGCGAAGTGTAAAGAGTATTTACTTTAAAGTTTAATAACTTTTGTAATTATTAAGCGATTTTAATAATTTAAATGTTGTTGTATTAACAATAAAAATATCTTTTATATCTTTTATCTAAATATATAAGTTTTCATTGAAAATTTTATAAATAAATGAGGTTAAAACTGATAAATGAGAAAAATGTAAAGACTGTTCACAGACTGACTAAAGACTGACTATAAATTGAATATAGTATGGACGATAGACTGACTATAGTCTGGCCGATAGACTAACCATAGTCTAGACTGTAAACAGACAATAGTCTTGACCATAGACTGACTACAGTCTGGGCTATAGACTTACTATAGTCTGAACAATAGACTGACTATAGTCAGGACTATATATTGACTAATGTCTAGACTATAGATTGACTATAGTTTGCACTATAGCCTGACTATAGTTTGCACTATAGCCTGACTATAGTTTGGACTATAGACTGACTATAGTCTGAACAATAGACTGACTATAGTCAGGACTATAGATTGACTAATGTCTAGACTATAGATTGACTATAGTCTGGACTATAGACTGACAATATTCTGGACTATAGACTGACTATAGTCTGGACTATAGAATGAGAATAGTCAGGACTATATATTGACTATAGTCTGGACTATAGACTGAATATATTCTGGACTATGGAAGGACTATAGTTTGGACTATAAACTGACTATAGTCTGGACTATAGACTGTAGTATAGGCTGACTATAGACTGACTATAGTCTGTGTTGTAGGCTATACTATAGACTTCAGTATAGACTGACCATACTCTGCACCACTGACCGACTATAGTCTGCACTATAGATAGGCTATAGTCTATCTATAGATATACTATAGTCTCGACTGTAGGATACACAATAGATTGACCATAAACTGAACAATAGACTTACTATAGTCTGCACTATAAAATGACTATAGACTGACTATAGTCTGAACTATAGACTGATTATAGTCTGCACTATAGACTGACTATAGTCTGCACCACAGATTGGCCATAGTCTGCGCTATAGAGTGACTATAGTCTACACTATAGTCTGCACTCTTGAATGACTATAGTCTTGTGAATTTTTAAAATTTTTTGTGAAACTTCTTTTTTTAGTGAAATTTCAAAAATTTTCTCTTTCTAGCTTCATGACAGCCGCGAATCCTCGCCTGATATAACCGGTGAAATGGATGATGATGAACCACATCATCAACGTTCCCATAGCCCAGGACCAGGATCATCACACCTAAGTCCTCACGGTGGTACGGGCATGGATTCAGACAACGAAAGGCCTTTGTCATCGAATCAAATGAACAGTGGACATTCAGGCTCACAATCAGTGGGCTCTATAAGTGCCGGTTCACCCTCACCAGGGGCTAGAACACCACGTAATCCTACCAATAGCCCATCTAATTCGCGAAACACCGATTCACCCATAGAAGTGGGTGGACCCATATCATTGTCAACACGTTCAAGTAGCGCATCAACGACACCCACTACCAGTTTAAATACAGCCAATGCTGCCCAACAGTTTGGTACTCATATATTTGGAACATTTGGCAGTTCGAACACAGCGGGCAGTAATAATAACGGCAATAACAACAACAACAGTAGCAACAATAATAATGAAACGTAAGTACATTAAGGTATAGATATTGATTAATAAACAACAAACAGTTTTAATGTAAGACACGTGTGTGAGACAATTTAGGCATCATTACACTCTTAACAGCAACAAAAAATAAGAAAAGATCTTAATGTTTCCGCCTGGCATTATGTTTCCGCTAAAATTTCAGCCATATCCGTTTAAGATTAACACTGACTTTGTTTATGCGAGGCAAACTGCTAGCTGCTTAATACGTTAGTGGTTAAATTGTTTAAAAAAAGAAAACATTAAGGCAAATATTTCCTTTGGACCAAACAACAAAGGAAAACATACTGCATACATAAGTGTGCAAACAATTTAAAAGTTTAAGCAACTGAAGTGATTAACAAACAAAACACCCTGTAAATTAACAACAAAACGTTTTATGATCAGAATTTTAAACTGCAAACTCCAATTTCAATTCACAAATCAAACTGTGAGGTTGTTGGTTAATTGCTGGTTTAAAAAAAAAAAATAAGAAACATTTGCAATTATAGTCAAATTTGAGTTTTACACCCTCATTTTTACTAAAAGTGGGGTGACAACAATGACAAATTCCTAAATAAATCCTCAACAGAATTCTATTAATAAAATCTCCTTTTCTTTTCCCTGTAAAAGTTATTGTAACTTTTTGTTACCCTTAATTTTTGGATTGTTAGTGTTTGTATCCTTAAAACATAAGTGGCTTAATGATACGCCAGCAATTAGCAGATCATAATGATGAAAATGTTTTTATAATTTTACAAGTATCAAGCAACAAACAATTTGAAATTTATGAGAGGGATTCCGTGTGTTTATGTATGTATATAAACACTTCCTTCAAAAGAACGGCCATTATAATAAAATTTATTTGTTGTCATTTTCAAATGTACTATGAAAGGACAACAGGAGGGGTTATTAAGTAAAATAAATAAGCTCTATTTCAATTTGTTTGTTTTCATGTTGAAAACTCATTACAGGTCGTTCGGTTTGATGACAAGGTCTCAGGGAGGTGTTTGTACAATGATTTATTAAGGATTAGGGAAATTAAAATTTTAATATTCGTTTGAGTTTGTGATTTTTTGCAAAAATTTTCAATTAAAAATTAATGAAAAGGACTTACCCGATTTTATTAGAGGCAAGAATTAAACTGCAAAGAGAAAATAATAATAACAAATTAAAAAAAATTTTTAAATTTTTAAATAATTTTGAAAAAATCAAATTCGATTGTATATTAAAAAATAGATTTAAGGTTAAAATTACTACTAGTTGAATTGCGATTATCTAATAAAATTTTGAATTTCTAGTGAAATTATGAATTTCAAGGGAAATTTTGAATTTTTAGTGAAATTATGAATTTCTAGTGAAATGGTAAATTTTTTGTGAAATTTTGAATTTATAGTGAAATTTCGAATTTTTAGTGAAATTTAGAATTTTTAGTGAAATTTAGAATTTTTAGTGAAATTTGAAATTTTTCGTGATATTTTGAATTTCTAGTGAAATTTCAAATATTTAGTGAAATTTCGAATTTTTGAAATTGGGAATTTTTAGTGAAATTGGGAATTTCTAGTAAAATTAGGAATTTTTAGTGAAATTGGAAATTTCTAGTGAAATTGGAAATTTCTAGTGAAATTGGAAATTTCTAGTGAAAATGGGAATTTCTAGTGAAATTGGATATTTCAAGTGAAATTAGGTGAAATTTTAAATTTTTAGTGAAATTACAAATTTCTAGTGAAAGTTAAATTTCTGGCGAAATTTTGCATTTCTGGATAAATTTCGAATTTCTAGTGACATTTCCAATTTATAGTGAAATTTCGAATTTGTTGACTATATAATAGACCAAAACGATAGTATAGGCCAGACTGTAGGCTAGACTTAGCCCAGACTATAGAGTAAACTATAAACTAGACTATAATCTAGAATAGATTAAATTCCATACTATAAACTAGACTAGAGTCTAGACTAAAGATTATTATATATATTATAGACTTTAGTCCAGACTATAGATTAGACTATAGTCCAGACTATAGATTAGACTATAGTCCAGACTATAGATTAGACTATAGTCCAGGCTATAGATTAGACTATAGTCCAGGCTATAGTCCAGACTATAGTCCAGGCTATAGTCCAGACTATAGTCCAGGCTATAGTCCAGACTATAGTCCAGACTATAGATTAGACTATAGTCCAGACAATAGATAAGACTATAGTCCAGACTATAGATAAGACTATAGTCCAGACTATAGTCCAGACTATAGTCCAGACTATAGTCCAGACTATAGTCCAGACTATAGTTCAGATTAGACTATAGTCTAAACTATAGATTAGACTATGGACTAGACTACAGTCCAAACTATAGATTAGAAAAAAAATTTTAATTTGATTAATTAGTTACAATTATATAATATAGTCCAGACTATAGTCCAGACTATAGTGCAGACTATAGTGCAGACTATAGTGCAGACTATAGTGCAGACTATATATTATACTAAAGATTATACTAAAGACTAGACTCTAGTTCAGATTAGACTGGACCAGACTATAGACTAAAGTCTAGACTATAGTCCAAACTATAAACTATACTATCTTCCAGACTATGGACTAGACTATAGTCCAAACTATAGATTATAGAATTTTTTCCAGTCAAATTTTAATAAAATTTCTCATGAAATTTTGGATTCCTAGTAAAATTTCGAATATTCAGAGAAATTTCAAATTTCTAGTGAAATTCGACTTTCCAGTAAGTAGAGTCCTAGACGGAGGCATTCGTAATTAAAACGAATATATTTCGAAAACGAAATTAATGTTAAATCTGTGATATTTCTGTTTTATAACGAATACCAGATCAAGTGCAATTATTCGGTGGCCTATAGACCATTTAATGCTTTAATCCCTACACCATTTCCATAGTTTTTTCTAAACTATCAGCAGATAGTTTAGAACAGAACAGAAATAAACAACTAACAAAGTAATTCACAATTACAATATTATTGTAACTAATTTGAATAAACAATTTTCATTTATTGAATATTTATTGAACCGTAACACCCTCTTCTATCCCCTCCCCTTAACATGCTTAATATGTTGACATATTTGCAAAGGAATAATAGAAACCAGCAGACACTAAGAATCAAAGTCTAAATAAGGGATCATCATCATTATACATAATATTGAGTGTTTTTGTGGTTTGTTTATGCGTCATTATTTATACATAAATAAATAAATAAAATCATTTATTCATTCATTCATACTTTCATCATTTATTTTGCAAAATAACAAAGTCATGTTGTTTATCTTTTTTTTTCTACTTAATAATTGTAAGCAGAATTGTTGTAAACACAATGGCCACGTTTTTTATATTTTCCTGTTTGCTGTTTTTTCAAGCTAGTTTAGCAGCAGACATTTGTATGCCTTTTGGCTATACAGAAGAAGTCCTTTTGTATTTGGTGTTTTTTGTTTTTTGTTCTGTCATTGTTTATGGCCCCCCTGTGGTGTTTAGTGGGGTTTCTTTTTACTTCTACCACTGTGCACCAAAAGGCGTTAAGTTGGCAATAATTTTATTTTGTTTGCCTCAATTTCATACAAAACATTTAACATACGCCACATATCGAGTAGAGAAAGACATCATTAATGATCCGTAAGGACATGTTTACATACACTCAATTTAATTTCTAAGGACTACTACTATTAGGTTAGGTTTTATTTTCGCGCAAAAATGTATATACATATGTATGTATGTTTGTAGCAGAACTATATATTACATAGTCTCTAGACTATAGTTCAAAGTAAAGATTAGACTACAATCCAAATAGACTAAACAATAGACCAAGACTATAGTACAAATCAGACAGTAGACTAGATTAAGTACAGACTATTGTGTAAACTATGAACTATACTACAGAGCAGACTATAATCTAGAATATACTAGATTTCCGACTACAAACTAGACTAGAGTGCAGACCAGAATTTAGACTACAATACAATACTGACCAGACTAAAGACTAGACTATAGTTCAGAATAAAGACTAGACTATAGTTCTGACTAAAAACTATACTATAGTCCAGACTATAGTACAGACCATAGACTAGACTATAAATAAACAAATAGTCCAGTCCAGACTTTAGATTAAAATTTAGTCCAGACTATAGATTAGACTTTAGTTCAGATTATAGATTAGGCTTTAGTTCTGACTATAGTCCAGACTAGACTAAACTATAGTTTTAACTATAGACTAGACTCTACTAGACTATAGTGTAGACTACAGACTAGACTATAGCGTAAACTATAGACTAGACTATAGTGTGGACTATAGACTAGACTATAGTCTAGACTATAGACTAGACTATAGTGTAGACCATAGACTAGACTATAGTGTAGACTATGGACTAGACTATAGTGTAGACTATAGACTAGACTATAGTGTAGACAATAGACTAAACCATAGTGCAGACAGACTATAGAATATACTATAGTGTAGACTATAGAATAGACTATAGTGTAGACTTTAGACTAAACTATAGTGTAGACTATAGTGTAGACTAAAGACTAGACTATAGTGCAGACTATAGAATAGACTATAGTGTAGTCTATAGACTAGACTATAGTGTAGACTGTGGAATAAACTATAGTGTAGACTATAGAATAGACTATAGTGTAGACTATATAATAGACTATAGTGTTGACTATAGAATAGACCATAGTGTAGACTACAGAATAGACTATAGTGTAGACTATAGAATAGACTATAGTGTAGTCTATAGACTAGACTATAGTGTAGTCTATAGACTAGACTATAGTGTAGTCTATAGACTAGACTATAGTGTAGTCTATAGACTAGACTATAGTGTAGTCCATAGACTAGACTATAGTGTAGACTGTAGAATAGACTATAATGCAGACTGTGGAATAGACTATAGTGTAGACTATAGAATAGACTATAGTGTAGACTTTAGACTTAACTATAGTGTAGACTATAGTGTAGACTATAGTGCAGATTATAGAATAGAC